ATGGTTTTTATTATCACATACTAATCATGCATGATAATGGGCTTTGTTATGACACTCCACACATGTATACAATGCATTTTGATCATTTCAGCCCTTCATTGATCCCTGTTGTTCACCTTCCTTCTCCTCCCAGTTTCCCCTTTGACTTTCATGTCCTTTTTTTTTTAAAAAAAAAATTGTGACTCAAACAGTTTCATTAGGTTTGCCTATGTATGGTAAGAGGTGACTTCCAGAAGCATGAATGCCCCACCAGTGACTACACAACAACAGAAAATGTCTCTCTCCACCAGTAGCCATTAATGGCCTATAGATATTCCTGGGTGAGTGGAGCCTCAGAAGCCTCCCCCCCATTGCATGACTGGATGTTGATAGGCTCGATCTTGTGCAGGTAATCCTAGCAGCTGTGAGTTGAAGAGTACAAAGGTCATGTGACCAGAAGGTAGCGTTCTACAGTATTCCACCCCATCCCTCTGCTCTTGTGCTTTTATCTTCTGACCCTTGGAGAGGGCGATAAAGATGTCTCATGTATGGCTGAGCATTTTCAACACTTATTCTCAGCACTCTGGCCAGTTATGAGTCTCTGTGGTTACTACTCTGTACTGTTTAAGCAAGTGTCCCTGCGCTAATCTGGGGAGACAGACGTAATTATTCAGAAGGCAATCTGACGGGCACATCATGTCCATTTAGCAGAATAAAAGAGGTACTTCCCAACTAAGGGCTCTGTCCTCCTAGCCCTGGGCTTCTTATGAGGTTTATAGTGCGCAGCATGAATTCCCTCCTGTCTCCGGGACCTGAATCCCAATCAAAGTGGTTGGTGACCCCCTGGAGCCGAGTTTCTACTCTTATACCAGTGGGTACCTTCTGCCTGGTGGGGCCAGTAGTTAAGTGTCAGGCCCATCTTTACGGCCTGGATCCTTTCCCTACCACTGTCCTCCATGTCCACTCTGTCATTTCAGGGTGGCCCAGCCTCTGGGGAATCAGTCACATGCGGTTTCGGATGGAGCTTTGCTTTCCCAAGGGCCTCTTCCCCAGGGCACAGGAACTGTCTGTCACCCTCGCGGCTGTGTGGGCGTCTGCTACTACCAGGGAGGCAGAATAGAGAGGAGACGATGTCAGCACAGGGCTCCCTTCCCATGGGCCCTGCCTTACCCTCTTAGCTTCCCTGGGGACCCTGGACTTGGGAATCAGGTTCGTCTCTGAAACCCTGCCCTCCCAGCCACCCGAACCCTGCCTCATTTTTTTTTCCTAAAGGAAAGGCTTGCGTTTGTATCTTCCCAAAATTAAGAGAAAGCCCTGACAATAAAAATGTTTCTCTTCGCAGAGCCGGGAGCATCCTACTCGCTCTGGAATTAGTTAATTCTCATGACCTTTTAACAAGACAGCGCTTGGCGCTCTCCGATAAGATAATTGACTCAAAGAGGGGAAGAAGCCCTGCTCACTTAATGGTGTTCATCTGAGCTGTGCGCAGTTCAGGGGAGTTCTCCATTACCTTTGGAGTCGCCAATATATAGATTAAAGCAAGCGGTAGGAAGGCCAGTAGACACGTGAGCTAGTGCAGCCTAAGGTGGCAGTCTCCTCCCTCGCAGGCACGCTAGCTGTCTCCTTATCACTGCCATCACTCAGCGCAGAAAGCAGGGGGAGCACCTGGCACAGGACTCCCGGTCAAAAAGGCGCTCAGTCAGCAGGAGCCGCTGTTGTCGCCGGTACTGTTACCACCAACGGCACAAATCTGACGCCCAGGGAAGCACAGTGATTGTGTACACTTGGCAAAGTGCCTCGCCACGTGGCATCCCACTGATGATGTGGTGCGCTCATCACTGAACCCTTATGACATAGTACTCCATTGGCATACCCCTCTGACGTGATATCTCCCTTATATGCGATACCACAGACGTGAAACCCCTCTGACGTGGTACACCAGCTATACAGTACCCCGCTGACACGGTGTACACTTCTGACACAGTGCCCCTCTGACATGGTATCCCTCCAACACGGCATACTACTTTGTATAGTGCCCACTGGCATGGTACACTCCTCTGATACCGTGCCCCTCTGACACAGTACTAAAACCACAACAGAACGTATTTCCCCATTTCTCAGATAATACTACTGCGGCTAGGAAGCAACTGTTAGGGTTCAGAACTGGTTTCCTTACTCTGGTACCATATCACAGAAACCAAAGCAACGGGTCATTCTCCCTGCCATCACCAAAATGCAACCTCCTGGCTAGATCATGCCTGTGCCTGTCCGCTATATGATTTGACTATGGACCTGGAGCCACAAGAATGTGCTGCGTGAGCCAGATTCTCTACAGTATTTTGTGGCTTAAAGGCTGTTGTAGAACTGTTTTTCAACATCCCGTGGAAGAGTCCTGTGTCTCATCCCAGGAGACTGTCTTATGTCCAGGAAGGGGTGTCTTCATATGGCCTCCTTGTGAAATAGAACTGATACAAGGCTAAGTGGGTGGAGCCTGGACTCCATAGCAGAGACTCACGGTGTGGGTTTTCAGGTCTGTGCAGATGTGGGTTCTAGACCAGACTCTACTTTCTTCTTGTCCTTTCAACCTTGCACATGCCCGTCGCTTCCTTCCCTCACTTGGTCATCTGTAGCATCTGGCTACGAAGATTAGCCTTTTTTATGGTTGTCGTGAAATCTAACGTATGCATTGACTAGTTTTAACACAGTCTCTGGTACACAGTAAAACTCCTCAATTAGTATCTTACAAATACCGTAGTTTCAACTAACTTTCTGTTTTGTTTTGTTTTGTTTTTAAAAAAATTAATTTGTATTAAGACCTAATATCTGTTCATGTTCTCTAAGCTGGGTCTAGTGGGGTTGCCATGAGAATTAGACATAGTGTATACAAGTTACCAGACACACACAGTGGGTAATTAGTGTAAGTCCATGGACCCTCCCGCCTGTGTGTTTCCTCTCTGCGTTCCTGTGGTCCTCCTTCTCAGTCACCCCCTCCTCTGGGCCCTGACCTTCTGAGTGGACTTCCTAATCCATCTGTCTTCACTGTGCTACTGTGGACGTTAGCTGTCTGAATCGATACTAACTCGCCTGAGTCTGCCACCGCGAACCTTTAAAAATAGCTTTATCCACTAGATGAAGGGGCACGACCTGTAACATGGTGCAGGACCCGGGAAGGGAAAGGCCGGCTGCAGACGTGAAAGCCAGAGTGAGCTCCTGGAAGTGCTGAGTGCACACCGCTGGCAAGGTTCAGTCTTGTTTCCTTCTGCGGAATGATTTTTAGTTTCAGTTGTGTGTGCATGTGTGCACATGTCTGCGCGCGTGTGTGTATGTGTATGTGTATGTGTATATGCATGCGCGCACATGCATACTGTGAATATGGACACATGCGTGCCACAGCATTCAAGCAGATTTCAGAGGACAATTTTTAGGGGGTTGGTCTCTCCTCCCACTTCTGTTGGAAGAAACAATTCCTTCTGCTGTCTTTGCCACTATGCAAACTCCAAATGCCAGTTTTTGGGATCAAACTCAGGTCATCAGACTTGCGTAATAAGTGTTTTCACCAGTGGAGTCGCCTTTGTGGCCCTTGCTTTTTGTGTGTGTGTGTGTGTGTGTGTGTGTGTGTGTGTGTGTGTGTGTGTGTGAAAGGCACTCACCAGATGGAGCCGACTGGCTTCCCATCTTTGTCACAGTCTGCCGCCTCTGCCTCCCCACTGCTGGCGTCACAGGTGTGCCCCACCATGCCCATGCCAACAGCAACATCTTGATTCCCAAAGTGAAGTTGGCACGGCTGTCACACACTAGATTAGAAATCTTTGGGGGAATAGTCTTCCCAGCCTTCCCAAGCATGGCGTGGTTCAGTGTTTGTTTTCGCTTGTCTCACGGCCCCTTCTAGATGGGTGCACCAGGCTATCTGGTAGCCTCTTACTTGGGGAAAAATATTGCTTAAAGCAGGAAAACGTGCCTGTGGTACAAAATGAAGATGTGTGGAGCATCGCCCTCCCATCATGCCCTGCAGCATCCTCTTTCCTCCCAGGGAGCACCTGGTGTTAGGACTGTCTTTCACGTTCTTCCGGATACTCTGTACAGTTTAAAGCCAAAAGCAGTGTGTCAACACATTCTTCTGTAGGCTATGGTTTTTCTTCAAAAACAAACAAACCAACAGCAACAACAAAAAAAAAAACACATAAAAACTTCCTCAGTCTATTTACGATCTGTGCTATTGTGTTGTGTGGATAAACCCTACCCAGCCTTTAATCAATGGACCAGTTTATGAAATTTTGCTGTTAAAATTATTCTGTAATGAGTAACCTTGTACGTATATAATTTATTAAATGTGTGAGTATATCCAGAGGAGAATTTTCTACAATTGGGACCTTGAAATCCCAGGGTAACGAGTGAATGTATTTTAAGTTTTGTGACTTGTATCACATACCATGATCAAAGCATGTGGGTGCTTGCTCCCCACCCTCTGCCAAAATAGTCTTTTCAGCCCTTTGTACCTTAGCCAAAGCATATGTGAGAAATACTATTTCAGAGTTTAACCAGTGGGTAATGTCGGGAGCCTTTGCACACTATTAAGAGCCGAAGGCATGTCCCGTTCCTTCACCTGTCTGTCCATCTCCTGTGCCCGTTTCTCTACCACAGTGTTACACTTTGCTGATCTGTGGGTGTTATTTTTCTATTAAGGAAACAACTCTTTGTGGTACAAGTTACGGTTCTCTGCTCTAGACTGTCATTTCTCTTTTGAAGAAAAAGGTCAAGGCCTCCGGAAACTGACTCCCCTCATCCATCCCCAACATCACCAAACTGTGAGCCCCTTGAGGGCAAGCCCTAAACCCGGATCATCACTGTGTCCCAAGTCCCCCTGCAGGGGCTGGCACTCTAAGTGATCTCCCTCCAGGGGCCGATGTTGAGCTGAGCCTAGGGTCTGTGTCCCCCCAGCCCAGACCCCCTCTCCTTGTGGCTTGGGAGCTCCGTTTCCGCCTCCAGCAGAGAAAGATGACTCTTTTCATTGCTTACCACAGCCATGCACCTGTTTGGCCTAAACTGGCACCTGCAGCCGATGGAGGGGCAGATGTATGAGATCACGGAGGACACAGCCAGCAGTTGGCCTGTGCCAACGGACGTCTCCCTGTATCCCTCGGGGGGCACTGGCTTAGAGAACCCTGACAGGAAAGGCAAAGGAGCCACGGAAGGTAGGGTCGCTGCGTTGTCCGTGTCGTGAGTCCTCTGTGTCTGCCTGTGACTGGAGAAAGCCTCCATCATGCACACTGTGCGCCTAACTCACGGCTCATGCTTCCTCCATCTTCTGCACTCCATGCTGGCTGCGGTCTACCCGTGTCTCCATCCCAGTTCCCTGTCGGTGTGAGCTCGGAGCGGGGTTCACAAGGACCCAAGATGCTCTGCTGTATCCCATTCCATGCTTCCCAGGATGCATTAGGGGCATTCACATCGCCAGCTATCCATCTTTGTGTGGGGTCAAGGGGGAGCACTTCTGGGTCGCCCTGTGGGACCAAGGGTCATGTGTGGGACATGGCAGAGCCATGTGTCTCAATGAAGACATTTCAGGTCATCAGCCCCCTCCAGTGACCTGGAATAAGTTACTAGTCCATCTGGCCAGCTTCCTTATCTGTAATAGAACAGTAATTACTGTTTGCTGTGTTTGTATCAAAACTTCTAAGGTCATTTCATTGTACACTTAAACCTCACAGAAACCCTGTGAAGTGGGTATAATTAGCTATGTCCATTCTAGGTATAAACGCAGATGATCCCATGAAGTGACTTGACCCACAGAGTGTCAGCATTGAGTGTATAAACTCAGGTCTGAGACCCAAAATCTCTCACTCCCTCCATGAGTTTCCCCACCTGGCCGGCCCCCCCCCCCCCACCCCGGTTACAGGACCTCAGAGATGATATGGCTGTGAAATTCTGTTCTACATTGAGACAAAGATATTTCTAGCCATAACAGAAATGGTGGTGACACTTTGGGTTTGTCATTCTTGAGAGGAAGTCACAGATCCATATTTTAAATTTCTCAAGGGTCTTGATAACAGTTCCTTGATACAACTTAACTTCCTTCACTGTCAGCCAGGAGTGGCTCAGGCTTACTAAGACTGCAAAGATGTGTAGGCTCACAGGCCAGCCCGATTGTCCTCCAGGTCCAGCGGCCTTCCCTTCTCTTGCCTCTGCTGCGCTCTGCAATGCTGCTGTGCTCTTCCCCAGTCGGCATAGCTGCCCTGTCTCTTACCTTTACAGCTCACACCAGGTGTTCTCTTGCCTCACTTAATCCTGGGGTCATCCCTTTTGTGGGTCTCTGTGTCCTTTCAAAGATTTGGCCTCCAGCCATCCATTTGGTTAAACCGGTAACTTGGCACTTGCTCGAAGTACCTCTTCACGACCTCTGCAATGATGATCCTGAAGTTCAAAGTCAGCTGCTGACCTACGGAGCTATGTCAGGAGAGGAGACTTCTGAAAGAATCAAATCCAAATGCTTACCCACTCTTTAGAGAAGAAAGGCTAAGCATTTTCTTTTTAAAGAGTTTAGTACCCAAACCACTGAATAACGTCTGCCGCTTTGCCCAGAGGCAGAGTGGGGAAGGAGTTAGCAAGCATGGGGCCACTAGAGTAGTCCGTGTGACGTAAGAAGACACTATGATGCACGCTTAAGCATGTCCCCTGAGCCAGGCATTCTAGGCTTCACCCCCCTCTTCAAAAAACCCTGGGCCGTAGGTGCCTTAAAGCGTGCAGTGTAACTTGCAAGCCCTACAGGTGAGATTCCTCAAAGACTCATCACGGGACTAAGTGGTGTTCTTCAAGGATCTTTGGACCCACCAGGGCACTGTCTATGGTCCTGCCGGTGGCTTGCGATGCTCATACTAGTTTATACTGTCCAGTGCCACCGGCGAAGACCCCCTAAAGGGACAATTGTCTTTAGATTAAGCCTGTGGAAACACACTTAAAGTGTCTCTACCTGTCATGGAGTTGGCAAAGGGTCTCCTGTAATACAGTGCAGTTTTTTCCCATCGTGATCCCCGACAGACATTCCTTCAGCGGGAATTAAATCTATCTGAAATCTCCAACCCTAATGAAATTAGTCTGTGTGCTGTTTGGGTTCTTTTAGTTTTTCCGGAAAAGCAGGAGGTGTAGATAAGAGGCAACCTAAAATTGCACTGCCTTATTGGCTTATTTTAATTGGAGGATTTTTGCTTAAAGGGATTATCTGTCATTACTGATGCAAATGGAAATCCTGTTTATAAACCCCTCAGACGCAGGGCAGTACTGGAAAACAGTCAGCAGCAAGAGCAATTACCGTGAGAAAAAGACGCGTGTGCCTGAGAAACAGAGGGAACGCTTCCCATAGTCTATGGGAGACCACATGGTTCTTCCCCACCCCACCCTAGTCAAACCAAAGTCTACTCGGCCTCTGTTTTTAATCGTGGTGATGATAAACCTCTGCTTCCTTAGACTTTATCTCAATCGTGAAAATGTCAACCGTACCGGGAGGGCACATTTCTGGTCCTTTCTGATGGTATCAGGGAAAAGAATCCATTACAGAGTAAAGATTAGCGTCTGTGCCCCGTGCTGGCGGGAGGAGCAGTATCAGGTGAATGAAAGGAGCTGAGTGTGCCCTGGAGCCACCTAGCCCAAGCTGTGGTGCTCAACCCAACCTTTTATTTATTCCGTGAGCTTATACTATTTACCTCATCTGTTTGGCCTTAGTTCTCTTGCCTGTCGAACAAGGGTGCTGATGGCTCTTCTCAGAGACCAGCAAGGGGGAGCCACTCATTCAGAGTGGTCGTCAGTTCAGCTGGTGTCCCTCATCTTGTCCACCTAGTCTGGGGCCATTCGACTTCAGACACGGAGATCCTAGAGACATGTACCAATTAGCGTTTCCCCTCACGGGTCCTCCTAAGGTTTGGAGGATTTAAAAAATATTTTTGAAGTACATCTTTTTAATTATATAAATTAAATGCACGATAATCCCAGTACTGTGTTTGTCATGTCTGGGAGAATAACATCAAAGGATAATTTATGTTGTATTTTCAAAGTGGTTGTAACCATTTCAGGGTCATCATGGGACAGAAGCCAAACATAGCAGCTTCCTGAAGCGAGACTGCGAGACCTTGTGTCTGCATTAATGGGGGAGGGGGAGTCACTGAATAAACAAGCATTCCTGACAGTTGACTCTGTGGGCTACGGATGCCTTCTCTTTGCAATGGAATAAAAATTGCTCATTGGTTTGAACCATGCAAATTGCTGCACACAGGCTCAGCTGGGCCCTCCAAAATGGAACAGCTTATTCTGATACCCAAAGAAATTTCAAACAGTTGCTAAGGAAACTAAGGGATTCTTTGTGCAATCTATTGCATTGAGAAGAATTAAAAAAAAAAATAGATGGGGCGATTGTTAGTTGATTGGAGCCTCAGAGCCTGAACAGATGGGGTCTCTGGTCAGGAAAGCAGAGCCTGATTGGGAAGCAGGGGAACTCCAGCTCTCTGAAGCCGGCCACATTTGGTGGAGCTATCCGACCATTCCAGCAGATCTCAGAGAGATTTCTTTTGTGACATGATTGCATATTTGCACAGCATTGCTCTAGGAAGCCCGAATCTCTTTAAATTTACAAAGAAAAAGCCAGTTATCAATGGAATCTGTGCTGTGACACAGATTTCTTGGGAGGGGTAAGGACTAAGCTAAGCTGCTCACGCCACGTGGTAAGGCCTAGAGACACCTAGTCGTGGCACAGCATGCTTCTCGAGACTGTCCCCAGACCCTGGCTACTCCGAGGCCTGTTTCCAGCTTCCTAATTAGTCAAAATGATCAACTCTCAAACCCTGGCATACCACAGAGCTCTTAAGTGGACCTAGGGCCTAGCTGGTGAAGACTTGACATTCACCCCGGGAACCCCAGGAGTGACTGCTCTTTGAGAGGGTCAGTGCACCCCAGCACCACCGTGAGTGTCCCTCCAGATATTTAATTCACCACTCATTTATTGACTCCTCAGAGGAGCCACATCCGAAGAGGTAAAGAGGCTTGTCAAGTGACTTCATCTGCAGCTGGCTTCTTAAGCGTTCGGAGCCTCGGCGAAGAGATGTTCTTAGCGCCATGAGAATCAACAGAACTAATGTAAATGAAGGCACTTGACACAGTCAGAACTCATCAACCTGTGCCCTCACTACTGTTTCTCCTCCTAATATGTGCTGCCCTCCAGAGTCCACACGAAGAGGCGGATTTCATACACAGCGTTTCCCCTCACCCAGCCGCTAGCCTCTTGCCCTGCTCTTAACGCCACTGCTTTGCAGGGGACGTTTTACGTTCGCGTCTCCATGCTTTGTGCTCAGAATTAAAGACAAGAAATCTTAGGATCTGCACAGATGAAGGCAGGATGGCTTTTCGTAAGGCGAGAAGGAAGGGTTGTTTGTTTGTTTGTTGCTCTTCCAGCCCCAGCCTAGCTCTGGCAGTCTTCGGCATCTTTCCCATGAGCTAAAGGTGGTGAAAGCTGTACACTCTCTCCTCCCAGCCAGCAGTCCGCACCACCTGTTGGTCCAGTGTGGAGACAGCATCTCCCTCCCACCTGGCCCACATCCTTGCACCTCTAGAAAGCGTAACTAAAGAAAAAATCCCCTTCTGTCAGTTTTGGGAAAGAAGCGCATAGCCCTGCCTAAGGATCCAGCCTGAGGTTCGGAGGGTGTCTCTGGACCCATCTTGACCCATACGTAAGGCCATCTCCTATGCTATGCTCTCCTCTTTGCCAGGAAGAAAAGGAACCCAGATGACTAAAGCGAAGGAACAGTTTTTCATCATTTATTCTGAGACACGAGAACATGAGGCAGAGTGCAGGCAGCCCCCCAGGTCCCTCGGCCCCAACGCCTCCATCCTCTCCGAGGAAACTGGCCCTCAACTTACCAGTCTCCTGCTTCTCTCTCAGCCTCTCCTAGGAGGGAAAGGTTCCGAATGCACCCTGCTTTTGTTTCATTCGCCCCCTTAGCTCTGCCTCTTGGGAGAACTTAAAGCTGAGAGCCTAGGGCTCTCTACCTGCACCATAAAAGGGTTACAGTCCTGGGAACCCGCAGATCAGATGGAGAAGAATGTGAATAATTCTCTCCCATCCTAATGCTTTGTGAATCAGGCTCCTGCCTTTGAAATTTCATGACTCACAATGTCGAGATTTGTGCGTCTTCGCTTTCAAGTCAAAAGTCCAAGGCACACTCCTTCCACTGGAATTAAACGTGAACTCTTTTCTATGTTAAAGGTAGAATAGCCATGGTACTTTCATTGAGAGTGTGCATCTTAACTTTCTTTTTGTTGGCACATTTTTAATTAAAATAACATTTAATGGTTTGAAGTTAAAAACCTGATGTTTCTGCCTGGGAGTTTATAAGGGAATGATAACATATGGAGAAGTTTAACATTTAAATTGAATTTTATTATTTAAAACAGTAAAATATTTTATGGCCGCAACAATGCCCTTCCAAGCTCCATTTCAGCATCAAATGTGCTTTATAAGGAGTCTTACAAAGCTGGGGGTGGGGAGACATGATAATTTCTTCCCTCCGAGTACTTTTCATAATACGCTCCACAGACGTGTTTTCTTTACAAATAATTCTTGTTTTCTCCCAAGGTCTTTGAACATCCCTAACCACATGAAAGCCTTAGGGTCAACATACCCGGAGGTGGGGTGGGGGGGTTACTATTGACAAACACAATGGAGCCTGTTGGCTTGATTTTGGTTTTTCAGGGCCCTAAGGGTGGTCTTCCCAATGTTCCTGCCCTCTCCATCCCCACTCCTAAGAAGGCAGGAAGTTAGGGCTTAGCTCACTCACATCTAGGGTGTTTAATTACTGTGAAGAGGAAGCTGGGTAGGTAGCATTCCTTTCCAGGATTTGTTGGCCCTAGAAAGCAGTCATTGCTGCTTAGCCATAGAAATGAGCAGAGAATCTCATTGGTGAGTGTCTTCTGCCCCTTGTGGTACAGGGCTGAGGGCTGGCTTGAATTTCTCTAAGTATGCTATAGATTTCATTCTTGATAAATTCTTTAACCGTTTTAACACACACGCACACACGCACACACACACACACACACACACACACACACACACACAGTGATTCCACACACACACCAAAATACAAAAGCACTTTCGGACGTCTCCTGCCTTCTTAAGAACCTTCTTCTCCATCTTTGTCAGTTCATAGCCCTGTTCCAAACCCAACCCCCAACTCACATATGTAGCCTTAGGCTTTGGCTTCCAATTTCCACATAAACATAAAATACCTCCCTCTACTCCCATCATGCCTCCCGCTGTAGGGTTGGAAACTGAATGACAACAGCTCATTCCCTCTGTCCTTTCTGCCTTACCATCCAGCCTTTACATACACAATCTCACACATGCACTCACACTCACACACACACACACACACACACACACACATGCACATGCACACACATACACACAATCACAAAGTTATTCTCGTGTGACTACCAGTGATTATTTTTAGGATCAAAATATATCTTAACAAGCTGTGGCATTCCGCAGTAAACAGATGGTCCTTTGGGAGGGACCCATACTGCTTTGAAAGAATGTTTTTAGCAGAACAATTTGAGCATCACTGGGAGAAAATATTCTAGACTATCTTACTCCTGTGGAGGAGGGGGAGGGCTCAGGGAGCCAGACGCAGACCTCTGTCCGGGCAAGAGCCTGAGCAGAATCCTGGATGTTGGGATGCTGGTTCCAAGTCCCGTGTGGCTAACCAGAGGGCTTTTGTCTTCCCTTCCCCGTGTCTTGGTAGGAAAGCCAAGTAGTTTCTTTCCAGAGGACAGCTTCATAGACTCGGGAGAAATCGATGTGGGGAGACGGGCTTCCCAGAAGATTCCGCCGGGAACGTTCTGGAGATCCCAAGTGTTCATCGACCACCCCGTTCATCTGAAGTTCAATGTGTCCTTGGGGAAAGCAGCTCTGGTGGGCATTTACGGCAGAAAAGGACTCCCTCCTTCCCATACTCAGGTAAGTGGACCCCACACACCGACTGACCTCATGGGAGCGCCAGCTCAGATCCTAACCAGGGCAGAAACCCAGCCAGGTCCTAACGCCTGAAGGGAACATCACGTTATCTTACAGGCCACTCATCCGTTTGCCCCACTTGCCTTCTAGAAGAGTGAAATTAACTCTCAGGAGCTTTTCCAGAGAATTCTAGGCCACCTCTCAGCTGCCTTTCTGTTCTCGCCCTGTCTCCTAAGTTACAGGACCCAGGCAGTGTGACCTAGAGAAGAAGCCACACTCTGAGTGTGAGTCCTCTCTCCATTGGCGATGCAAGTGTGGACTCATGGTTCATCCCCTCCTTGAGGATTTCCTCCTCTCCAAAGTGGGGAGTACCACCCTGCAGAATTCATAGAGCCCTTAGCGTGGGACCTGACTCCAAACAGACAGTACCTTCCCTGCCTCTAGCATCCCTCTCTTATTCAGGACTGCACCTTCGTTTGCACACATGTACCAGAAACAAAGATAGCGGTCAAGTGACCAGGGGTACATTTCAGGGATAGAGCAGGCACCTAACATGCTGGACTCTGCATCCAGTCTCTGGCATCCCAAGAGAGGAAGAAGGGAGGAAAGGGAAGAAATAAGAAGAGGAGGAGTCATGAATCAGGGAGAACCTCCACACGCGCGCACAACACACACTAGCTTTGGCGTTGAAATAATCAAAACCATAACCACCCATCGTGCATCGCAGGGCCGCAGGCAGTTGCTTTAGCGCCGGCGTCTGATTTAGCACTGTAGTCCATGATCAGATCACAGAGCAATAGAGCCTGAGCCATGGTGACCACAGAACCACTATGCAGTCCTGAACTTCACAGCTTCAGCTTTACATGAGACAAATACCTTCCCTCTACTAAACCTAGCTAGGGAGTTGCTTGGGGATGCTCCCTAGTGAGGCGGCCTGGCTTAACCCTCCCTCCCCCTGCCGGATGGTCATACTGCGTAATGGACCAGCAGTCCTGGATCAATCAGACCTTGAGTTTCACACAGCACATAATAACCGATGGAAGTCTGAGCTAAACCAACCTACCTCATGATTAACCCAACCCAATTAAGTGTTACAGTCCCCCTCCAAGCCCCTAAGATTACCATCCACACTTGCAGGAACCTCCAATGATTGCCAAGTGTCTGGGTTTCTATTGAGGAACCTGCCACTGAAGAAAACATAGCCATCTTAACGTGTGTGTGTGTGTGTGTGTCTGTCTGTCTGTCTGTCTGTCTGTCTGTCAAGACTTGCATGTCCCAAAATGACAACAAAAGAAGACAATGAATAATCATTAGTGATGCCACATTCACAAAAGACTTAGAATATTTCCATGAAGCCTCTAGATCTGGAGAGGACTTGGTTGATTTGCTTTCCCGGCTCCCCTTTCTGACCCGTTCTCCCCTTCTAGACTCCCTGGGAAACTTCCCCCATGAGCCTGGCGGTTGGGGTGTCAGTCTGTTGCTAACATTACTCTCTTTGTTCTTTAGTTTGACTTTGTGGAGCTGCTGGATGGACGAAGACTCCTAACCCAGGAGGCAAGGAGCCTGGAGGGTCCCCAGCGCCAGTCACGGGGTGCTGTCCCCCCATCCAGCCATGAGACCGGTTTCATCCAGTACCTGGATTCGGGAATCTGGCACCTGGCCTTTTATAACGATGGGAAGGAGTCTGAAGTGGTTTCCTTTCTCACCACCACCATTGGTAAGCAGACATACCCGCCGTGGCGTCTTTGCACAAGAGGAAGGTTGTGGATTCAGGAGTTAGTGCTGGCAGGGTATCGGAACTGTGTATGTCTTGCCCAGAACTATAGCCGCCGCTCTGAGCGTGGTACAAAGTCTTCCCAAGTGGACTTGCTGGATGAGGGTGATGTGCGGAGCACCTCTCAAGAACTAGGAGGCAGAACTGGAGTTGAGATAGGAATTCTGGGTGGCCAGGCACAGAGGACACAGCTGCCGTCCGCCTCCCACCTAAGCCTCACCTCGTTCAGCTCGCTGATTTGCCCTCAGGTCTGGTTTGTTTGGGGTCTTTTACTTCTGAAGTCAACAAATGCTGAGAGATGAGAGCAGAAGGAAAGAGCTGGGATAGCGCTCCCTGAGAGCAGAGCAGGGAGCTGGACCAGTGGTCTGCCGTTGTTCTTGGGGTTTCACCAAGAACAGAGATGGCCTGTTCTCTGGCACAGGGTGACCTTGAAACGTCGTCCCTGTACCTCACGGTGGTAAAGGCCTTGGCCACTTCCATAGTCTACAGGCATGTAGGTAGCCAGATCCCTGTTAAAAAGACGTTCTCGTCTTTGCCAGTATGTTCCATCTCATGGATTTTGTATCCTCCTTAGGTGGCCACAGTATGCAAACAGTCTGAGTTTTCCAAGTCAGAGTTTTTCTGGGCTTCTGTTGGAAGCCTTAGGATGCAGTCTAAATATAAACACCCTTGAAGGCAGACTCAGACAGAACACAGACTGGAAGCCCTGGAAGGAACCCTTGTCTAGTGAATGCGTTAGGGTGTCCCTGAAAGGTCTTGGTTGTTGGCTGGGCATCTCTCTGACAAGGAAAATATCGCAGCTTGTTGCTAGGTTTCCAACATTCTTCAAAGACCCCCCTTCTCCCTCCTAATCAGCAAGAGTCGCTTTCAACCCGTTCCCTCAGTTTTGCCCTCAGTACTGAGGCAGAGCAAGCCTTTCTGTTACATGGATCACAGTCAATAAGCCGCTGCTACACATTCGGCCTTAACATTTTGCCGTGATAGCAAAGATTGTGTTGATGAAGGAGAAGTCCCTCTGTGTTGTCCCTGACTGGAGGTATATTCTGTCTCCACAATGCGCATGGAGTCTCCGTGGGCAATGCCCCCTGGTTGGGAGGGAATAAGCAGGAGCGTGGTCGTTTCTCTGCCCAGGACCCTCAGCAGCCCTGGTCTTGGCAGTTGCCATTATGTTGATTTCCCTCTTGCGCCTTTTCTCGTGTGATGCGTTGGGAAGCAGGCTTAGTCCAGAAGCTCTGCCATGAACTTGACTTTTAACATTGTACAGATCTCTCCCATCTTGGTTTCTAAAGGTTCTGGAATCCTAAGTTGTGTCCTAGTAACTGTCGGTCACATGGAAGGCAACATGGAAGCTCCCAGTCCCTGCCGTTCGAGGCTGGACCCTGGCCACATCAACATCTAAACTGTCCCTTCCCGGCTTCTGCTAGACAGCAGTCACTACATGTTTTCTTTCTTGATATGGTGGCTTTGACTTAGGGACATAATTCTCATGTCCCATGGTGTCTGAGCTTTCTGGTCCATCACCCTGAGTCTCCTAGGCACGGCTGACACGGAGACACATGGTATTGGGCTTACACAGGACTAGGAACATTTACAGTCAGATCTCTGTTTTAATAATTGAGTATAAATATGAAAGGTTGTTCATTTAAATCCCTAAAGAAAGCCATTTTATTTAGAATATGTATCTTAAACCATCAAGGAAATAGTGGGATTGCCCCTTCTCCAACCCTTGGCTTGTCAAAGCTTGCTAACCTGCTCAGTTAGAATTAGGACATGGTCTTGCTTTTTACCTGGTTCCTCTCACGCGCCTAGATGATGAAAACCGTTTCTTAACCCCTTCATGTATATCAAAGCCAGTAGCCAATCGTGCTCCTATAAATCAATGCATTAACCTTCCCAGGGGTCTAGATGCCCAGGGGTCTGGACAAGACGCAGAAGCTGCCCCAGCTGACTGGGCAGCAGTACCTAGTGAGCCCGGTTGTTGTGCATGTCTTGGGCAGCAAAGCGTTTGGTCACGATCCTTCTCAAATGGACCAAGGAGTCAACAGGCAAAGGTTCAGATTCCTGGTCCTTTGTTTAGAAATTCTGACCCCGTGGGCAGAAGGGAGCCCCCAAGCGCTTCCTATCAGCAAAGCTCTCAAACACCCCGCAAAAACAGATTGCTAGTCCTCCTTTCTCTTGTGACTCCCTGTCGCTTCTGCAATTGTCAATGGTAGGTCACCCCTTTTCTGTCAGAAAAAAAAAAAGAGTGTTTCAGGCAGTTTGCAGTTCCTGTTGTAGGGCTTAGTAAAGCGTGCCCGGAGCCTGTGGGGTAGAGGGAAGGAGCTAGGGTGCTCTGCCCCCTCCCCCGCCTCCTTCCGTTTTTTTCTCACTGTCTTTCTGACCTGTCTTCCTCCCTTCAAGCTACAATGATTGTTTAATGAACACAGTTTTTTTAATCCTTTAATACAAAAACAGACAAATTCTGACGCCGCTATTAATCCCTCCTTCCCGAGAGTCCCCGGCATTGCGTCTCAGCTGTCTGTGATCGTTACCTGTGAACCGTGAGCTGTAATTTGTCTTGGCAGGTTAATTAAAAGTTTAGGTCTTGCTTTAGCAAAGTCATTATGGTCCCAATATACAATTATAACTCTCGGGTTTGCTTAACACACAAATTGGAATATGACCCTCCTTTCGTTACATGCTGAAACACAGATCAGGAATTCAAGAAGACCTGGGATGTCAGAATTTGGTGTATTTTTATGTCTGCTTGTAATTAAGTAATGGGAGAAATAATTGTGTTTAACAAATGCCTGCATTGTGTATGATTTTGCTTTTCCCTCCATTTAATGCAATCCAGCTGATGACTCTAAATTAAATGAGTTTATCTTTTGCCTTGAAAAAAAATATCTAAAAGCACTTTCCAGACTGGCTCTACAAATATTTCCATACAGAGACCTGATGTTGACAGAGTTCTCACTGAACTGGATCTATGCCACGAATGTGCATGTGTGCACGCACGCACGCACGCACGCGCACACACACACACACACACACACACACACACACACACACACACTCACACACTCCCCACTGAAACCAAGCTGGTTTCAGACTAAAATATGGCATTCTGTTTTCAGAAGCAATTGTCTTCCCCTGGCATGGGGAGATGTGGAATCAGGGGGGACCTTTTCTACCCCTGACTCCCCTGGGGTGGTCATCTCGCAAAATTCCACTGGGTAGGCAGATCCCACCAGCGAAAGTCTAACTCAGCTCTCGAAGTTCGCGAAGGATTTTTACCATTCTTTAAGACTTACAGTAACTTCCTGAGGAGAGACCCTCCCCACTGTAAATGAGAAAGCTAGGGTCTGGGGTTGCTGCCAGAAAAGCTAGGTGGGATTTCACATCAGCCTCGCTGCAGCACTTAGGGTTTCCTTGTGATAAACACATCACCCCCTCACCTGGATCGGCCCCTCGTGTGTTTTCATATTTAATTTGTTTTCCGCATATTCATTGGTTAGTATATTTGTCAGATATTTAAAGAATGTCCAGTATGGGTCAAAGACCATGCTCTGCTCTTGTGTAATTTATAACAGCCTTGGGAAAGAGGTGTGTGTGTATGTGTGTGTGTGTGTGTGTGTGTGTGTGTGTGTGTGCGTGCATACACGCATGAAGGAGTATACACACCAAAGGATAATATTGGATGTTGTCCCTCAGGTGCTGTTAGCTATTTTTGCTTTTTAGAGAGAGCGTGTGTCTCTTCCTGTCCTGGAACTCACTTTGGATTTGTTTAATTGGTCGTCAAGCCCCAGCTCTGGGGTTATGTGTACCGCTACACCCAAGCCTTCTGATGCAGGTTCTGGGAGTTGAACTCAGGCCTTGATTCTTGCAAGGTAGACATTTTACTCACTGATATATCTCCCTAACTTTAAGAAAGATACCTTAACTCTAATTTAACTTAACAGGCGAAGGGGCTGAGGTTCAGAGTGTTTAGACGACTTGCCCAAAATTAAAGGCGAAGCAAGAATGAAAGCTTGAATTCTAATCCTCTCAGGTCCCCGCCATGCGATAGAGTCTCACTATTTGTCATGGATACGATTCAATATTTCCATCTGTGTTCTCTGGATCACAACTTCCCCTTGTTAACTTGCCTCCAATTATAAGTAAGCAGCTCACTTCAGTTCAGGAAGTTTTCTTGAGGAGTCATTAAAAAGACCGTGGTGAAAAATCTTGCGGTAGCTAAGATTTAAAAATGAGAATACCTTGCCCTGGATAGCTTGCCACCCCGAGGCCTGACAAGTTGGCATTGAGGTATTTTGGGTCTCAAACTAGCAACTTGTCTTTTCATTCGGGTTGCTGCCGACGCATAAAAGGACGGCTCTACCTGACACGGCAGCAAGGCAAGCTAAGCTGCAAAATAATAGAGGTGGCCTACGGTGGATTTAGAAATCCAGGAAGAGAAATGAGAACCACTGTGAGAGAGAGCCAGGCATGGGGGACTTTGCAAGGGACGCGCTCTGGTCTTCTGGGCGCTAGCTGGCAGAAGGGTCCGCCTGTTTATATGTTCAGGCAGCTGCCAGAAGTCAGTCTCTCTTCCATCCAGGCCCTGGAAGTGGTCCAGCTCCTTTCTTTCCTTCCATCTTCCTTCCCCCGGCTTTCCATCTGTTGTCTGACCTTGCCTTTTCCATGCTGAGCACCTGGAGAAAGCAGCTAATGCTCTGTCTTGATGGAGATGGCATTGGTATAGGAACCACTCCTAAGCCAAAGGAAAGAGCAAGGGAGGCCATCCCTGGAGGCAGGAATGGGGGAGCGTGTGCCCTGCTGAGTGGCTCCCAGAGCTCTTGGGCCAGAGGACCTTCTAACCTGTTCCTTAATGCATGGATGACATAGTCATATTTAAAGAAAGTAAGAGGCTAGTGGGATCGCTCATGCTTGAGTGAAGCACTTGCTGCCAAGCCTGGTGACCT